TGCTATCCTCCCCTATTCTATCCTATCCTATCCCATCTCATTCTATCTCATCCTTTCCTATCTTCCCCCATTTTGTCCTTTGCAATCATAGCCTACCCTATCTTCCCTATCTTATCCTATCCTATCCTATCCTATCCTATCCTATCCTATCCTATCCTATCCTATCCTATCCTATCCTAACCCATCCCATCCCATCCCATCCCATCCCATCCCATCCCATCCCATCCCATCCCATCCTAATCTATTCTAACCTAGCCTAGCATAGAATAGCCTACTGTCCACTACCCTATCCTACCCTGTCTTTTCCTTTCCTTTCCTTTCCTGTCCTGTCCTATCCTACCCTGTCCTGTCCCATCTTGTCCCATCCCATCCCATCCCAACCCACCCTACCCTACCCTATCTTACTCTACCTTACCGTACCCTATCCTAGCCTATCATATCCTAGCCTAGCCTAGCCTACCTTACCCTATCTTATCCAATCCCATCCTTGCCTATCCTCCCATATCCTATCCTGTCCTGTCATATCCTATGCTAGCCTGTCCTCCCCTATCCTCCTCATCCTACATACTCTACAATTTCCTTCCCTATTCTCCCCTACCATCTGCTTTGCTCTCCTCTTGTCTCCTCTCCTCTTCTCTTCTCTCTGTTTCTATCCTATCCTCCCCTATCCTTCCCAACCATACCCTATTCCATCCTTCCCTATTCTCCCCTATCCTGTCCCATCCTTTTCTCTCCTCCCAATCCTATCCTATCCTATCCTACCCTATCCTACCCTGTCCTGTCCTGTCCTGTCCTATCTAATCCTCCCCATCCTATCCTGTCCTGTCATGCCCTTTCCTGTCCTTTCCTTTTGTTTCCCTTCTCTTTGTATCCCTTCATATCCCTTCTACCCACCCCACCCCACCCCTCCCCACTCCATCCCATCCCATCCCATCCAATCTTATCTTATCCTCCCTTTACTCCCTATCCTCTCCTATCCTATTCTACCCTACCCTACCCTATCCTACCCAAGCCTAGCCTACCCTACTCTATCCTTTGCTATCATATCTTCCCCTATTTTCCCGATCCTACTTATGCTACCCTTTTCTTAACTATCCTCCCTACCCTGTGCTTCACTCTCTTCTCCTCTCCTCTCCTCTCCAGCCCTCTCATTTCCTCTCCTTTCTTCTCCTATCCTATCTTATCCTATCCTCCCCTATCATATCCTATCCCATCTTCCTCTAACCTCCACCATCCTATCCCATCCTGTCTTGTCCTGTTCTGTCCTATCCTATCCCAATCCCAATCCCAACCCGACCCTATCCTGTGCTATCCTTTCTTCTCCTATCCTACCCTACCCTACCCTACCCTACCCTATCCTATCCTACTGTACCTTACCGTACTCTGTCCTGTCCTGACCTATTGTCTCCTATCCTACCCCACACTATCGTATACCATCCCATCCACCCTATCCTATCATGTCCTGTCCTGCCCTGTCCTATCCTATCTATCCTATCCTACCCTACCTTACATTACCCTACTCTACCCTACTATATCCTTTCCTATTGTATCCTCACCTATCCTATCCTTTGCTATCATATCTTCCCCTATCCTCTCCATCCTACCCTTTTCTTCCCTATCCTCCCCTGCCCTGTGTTTCACTCTCTTCTCGTCTCATCTCCTCTCTTCTCCTCTTCTCTCCTTTCTTCTCTTTTCCTATCCCATCCTCCCCTATTATATCCTATCCATCCTCCCCAACCTGCACTATCCTATCCTATCCTGTGCTATCCCATCCTATCCTATCTTGTCCTGTCCTGTCCTGTCATATCCTATCCTCCCCTATCCTCTGCTAATCTAGCCTCTCCTATCCTATCCTGTCTGATCTGGTCCAGTCCAGTCCAGTCCTGTCCTGTCTGATCCTCTCCTCTCCGTTCCCCTTCCCTCTCCTCTCCCGTTCCGTTCCCTCTCCTTCCCTGCCCTCCCTTCTCTTCCCTTCCCCTCTCCTCCCCTCCCTTCCCCTCCTCTCGTCTTCTCTCCTCTCTTACCCTTTCCTTACCTATCCTATCCTGTCCTTCCCTATTTTCCCCTATCCCTTCCTGTCCCATCCCATCCTGTCCCGTCCCATCCCGTCCCATCCCATCCCATCCTATCCTATCCCATCCTCTGCTAATCTACTTTCTCCTATCCTTTCCTATCCTATCCTGTCTGGTCTGGTCTGGTTTGGTCCAGTACAGTCCAGTCTGGTCTAGTCTGGTCTGGTCCTCTCTTCTCCTCTCCTCTCCTCTCCTCTCTTAGCCTTTCCTTACCTATTCTATCCTTCCCTATTTTCCCTTGTCCTGTCCTGTCCTGTCCTGTCCTGTCCTGTCCTGTCCTGTCTACTCCTCTCCTCTGCTCTGCTCCCTTCTTTTCTTCTGTTGTGTCTTTCCCTATCATCCCCTCTCCTTCCCCTTTCCTATCCAATCCCATCCCATCCTATCCTATCCTATTGCTGTTTCTTGTTTTTGTTTTTGTTTTTTAATTGAGAGGAGTGTTTTTCAGATATATGCATCTTAGCCCTTTGGGGAGTTATAAAACGGATTTAATGGATCATGACCAACTTGTTGCCATAATGAAACAGTGTCAGATGTGATATGAGCCTGCAGCATACATGTCAGTGAGTTTGTGAAGCTTCCTTTCTAGCTTTGTGCCTACTGGGTTGTGACAGATGTCTGTTTCTAATACCATGGTCACAAACATTAGACAATCATGTGGTGTAGCTGAGTGGGGCCCTTGTAGACACTGCCTGCCAGCTCCTGCCTAGCCCTGGTGTTGAGGCAGAGTGTTGTGCTCCTGTCTTTTGGGTGCCTTTGTTCCCTGTGGGGTCCCCTACTATTGTCCTTTTTTGTTTCTCTTCTCTTTTATTTTGTTTTGTTTTCTTTTCTGTTCTGTTTTCTTTTTCCCTTCCTTCCTTCCTTCCTTTCTTTCTGGACAGAAAGCTTTATTTAGCTCACAGTTTGTGGATGTTTCAGTACATGCACAGCTGGCCCCAAGGCAGAGTGGCACATGGCAGAGGCCAACAGTGTTTTTTTCTTTTAAAATCCTATGTTAGGGCCACAGAGATAGCTCAGCAGCATAAGCACCTGCCTGGCAAGCACACAGTCCTGAGTTTGACCCCTCGAACTAAATTAATTAATTAATTAATTAATTAATTCTATTTGAATGGGTTGAGGTGAGAACTTTGACATGAACTGTACACTCCCCCTGCGTGTCTCCGAGCTTGCTGTGCGTGACCTTGGGCCCCAGGTTCAGTGGTACACGGCAGATCTCTAAGCTCACTTTGTGCCCACTGATTGGTGACCACCTCTGATTCCCTCCCTTCAGCCTCCACATCATGCTTTGATTCTGTGAATCCCCTATGTTCAGTACATTATTTAAGTGGGATCAGGCAGTTTAGAGGGGCCTCTGTATCCACAGACTCAGTACTTGTCTTATTTTGTCATTGCCAAGACACAATACCCAAAGCCACAACTCTAAGGAGGAGACATTGATTTGGGGTCACAGTTGAGAGAAGTTTCATCCATCTCAGCTGACTCCAAGCAGGGCATCATGGCAGGGAGCATCACGGAGGACAAACAGAGGAGGCAGAGAAAGCCAGGAAGCAGGAAGGAGGTGAACCCTTCTAGGCCACGGCCCCCAGTGACCACCTCCTCTCCAGGCTTCACCTCCCGGTATCACATTCAGACTTAACCTCGGCAGTGGACTGACCCACTCTGAATATCATGGCTCCCTGATCTAGTCACCTCCCCAGTGCCCCACCAATGAGAGCATGCTTTACTTTGGTCTTAACCATCCAGCAGAAAAGTATAAAAATGAAATATAAGAAGTAAAGCCGGGGCTGGTGAGATGGCTCAGTGGTCTAAAGCACCTACTTGGAACAAGCTTGGCAAAGCAGAGGGACTACGGTTCAATCCCCCAGCACCACATGCCAGCCAGCCCCGCTCCCTGGTGGGCTGAGCTGGTCACACACACACACACACACACACACACACACACACACAAATAAATAAATGTTAAAAAAAACTATAAAAAAATTAAAAAAAAAAAAGAAGTAAAGCCATGTTGTTATGTTGAACTGTAGGGGACTCAGGTCAACAATTTCTGACATTGCCAGTGAAGCAGAAGACCCAATACTATTATGGACTACTGAACTCTTTTAGAATATTTTGCTGAGTTTACACCCCTATAATATTTAAATGATGGAACTTAACAAAAAAGGGGGTGCAGATGAATGTCCATTTTGTATCTGTGTATTCAAAATGGTTAGGATAGATTTTTAGTTACATTCTGTCAATGAATAGAGGGATTTGTTCTAATAGTGTTTGTAAATAGGATATCAAGTCCGCATCTTGTACAGCAATTAACCACTAGGAAGAATGTATGCAATGTATTAATTATTGAAACTGTCCTACCAATTTGATTTGAAACTGTCTCATTGCTATTTGTTTCTCAATAAAATTATGGAAAAAAAATTTTAAAAACCATAGATATAAACCAAAACAGCATCTGTGAATTCAACTAATCTTGGGTAGGGAATATTTTGAAAAAAGATTTGCCTCTATGCTGAATATGTAGACTTCTTTCTCCATCATATTCATTCCCTATGCAGTATGATCTATGACTATTTTCACAGGGGTGTTCACATCTCATCAGATGTCTTATGTCATCCAGAGTTATTTAGAGTAGATCAGTGGATATGTGTCCGTGCTGTTGGTCCCACACCATTCTGCACGAAGCCCATGGCGTGTGGGGGAGCCGGTCCTCCTGGGATGTTGAGGGACAACTGTGTGTGTCTCTCTGAGGCTGGGACACTGCTATGTGGGTAAGGACAGTGTTGTGTGACCAGACAGGGAGGCCTTGCTTAGCCTTCCAAAAAGACAACCTGTGATGAGCAGCGGGGCAAATGGACCTGAGGGTGGCATGCTATGTGAAATGAGCCTGTCACTGGCACCTCTTGTAATTCTGTCCTCTTCTCTCCCGGGCAGGTTGTGTATGTTACCGCGACCTTCCCCTATGTCATGCTTCTCATCCTCCTGATCCGAGGAATCACATTGCCGGGGGCTGCTGAAGGCATCAAGTTCTACCTGTACCCTGACATCTCCCGTCTCTCCGACCCACAGGTAAGGGTTGCTTGCTCCAAAGTGGGCCACCAGCCACGGAGACTAGTGGCCAGTTAAACAGCTGGAAAGCTGAGGACTCCTTAGGATAATAATTTTAATCGCATCAATTAAAATCAATTAAACATGCTTCAATTAAACATGTAGCAAATCAAGTATATTAGAATGCAGTTAGAGAAATGGTTTTAAAAGGCAAAGTTGTAACATGGTAACGTATGTCCTTCTTTATCAGTCTCTTAAATAGCAAGATCCCATCACAGGTCTGATAACTTCAAGTTGGGTATCCCTTTTCCAGACTGCTTGGGACCAGAAATGTTTTGAAGTTGGGGTTATTTTTTGGATTTTGAAATATTCTGTACATACATAGTGAGATATGTTGGAGATGGGACCCACATCTAAACAAGGAATTCATTTGTCTCATTTACGTCTTGCACACAGCCTGAAGGTGACTCCATGGGATGATTCTGATAGTTGTATGCACAGAGCAAAATGTCATGGTGCAGGGCTTCCCACTTACAGTGGGGTTGGCACTGAGAGGTTGCAGATTTGGAAGCAGTTTGGATTTCTGGATTGGGATGGTGCACAATGATTTCAAAGTACTGCAGAGCTATTTTGAGACAGTTGTGCAGTGCTAGGAAAGAGTCTTGGATTTGTGTTGCTAATAGTGCTGTGGTACCCTGCCTACCCTCTAGCTTCTCACTGAAGGAAACCTGCACTTCAGGTGGGAGTCAGAATTATACTTTTTCCTCCTCAACACCACAGGCCTCTCTGGGTTTGTGTCAGTGGGAGGAACTTGGTGGTACCTGCTCTCCGTGTGAGTATGTTTCAAAGAACATGGACTGGAGAGATCAGCTCACCAGTGGTCAGGTGTTTGGGGTCCTACATGGGGAGCAGTGTTTGTGCCCAACATTCTCTGTGTGGGCACATGCTAATGTGCCTGGTGAAAACAGGCCACTCACCTGCCACTAGGAACGTCTGTCTGGGGAACTTCTGAAAATCCCAGACCCAGAGCACAACCCAGACTAGTTCACGTGAACCCCTGTGGAGCTGGGTCCAGGTGTCAGGGCCACCAAAAGGTTCTCAGGTCATTCCAGTGTGCAGAGTAAGGCACTCGACATGTTGGGCTGGGCAAGGAAACTTCCATTTTTCAATGAAAACCATAGATCCTATGATGTCTGTCTAATTTCCAATTAGAATGGGAATCTTGTAAGAAACCTGGCCAGTGGCTTTTGGCCACTTGGTTTTGGAAGCCCAGGTGGAAAGGTTTGTGTGGTGCTGGTTAGTTAGCGTGGTGCACCTGTACCTCGTTATGGAGAGGGTACCGGATAGTGGGGTAGAAAGGGCTCGTTTTTGTCCCTGTCAGCTGGGCCACATAGCTCAGAGCACTGTGGACACCTGTGCCACATCCTGCATCACAGGCAGGATCCCTGGGAAGAAGGAGATGAGATCCTTACTGTTGGCTGTGCCAACCTGCGGTGGCTGAGGCTCAGCTGAAGCAGTGTCTCTGGAAATCATGTTCCCCGGAGCACTGCTTTTGTATTTTTATCAGGCCTGCACTCTGTCCCTTGATCCCAGACAGATTTCCTCTTCTCTCTTCTGCCCATGGGTTTCTTTTCCTTGGTTCTTAAGGTCATCAGTCAGGAGGTACTAAGAGTCTCCTAGAGTTTCAGAACACCCAGGGATTTGTTAAGATGAGGATTCTGGGCCCCAGCCCTTGAGATAGCATTTCAGTGGTGCTGAGATAGCATATTAGCATCTTTTCTTTTCTTCATTTTTTTCTTTTTCTTGGGGCATTGTACATGGTAGGCAGATTCTGTACCACTGAGCTACCTCCCTAACTCTTTGCATCTGTTATTAAGAAATTTCAGAGGTGACTTTGTAATCTAAAAAGACTAGGAAAACATGATAGGCACTCATGGCCTTAGAGCCCTGTCTTCACCTGCATAGGCAAAAGCAGTGGGAGCGGGAAGGCTGGCTGCTCACCGGGCGGCTCCTCCAGCCTCGTGCTCTGTCCTTCCCTCTCCTTCCTCTCAGGTCTCGCTGCCAGGCCAGCTGGGAGCGGCCCCATAGGTCCTGCTCTGCTGCTGCTCTTGACCTTGGACAGGTTCCTTCTTTTTCTCCTTCTGGTCTGCTTGTGATTTGAAAGTGTTGAACTCAGCCCATGGTTCTCAAAGTGGATTCCGAGAGCCCTCAGTTTTGTGTGAGTGTGAGTTTATGGCTCTGCTAGGGTCAAAAGCCAGGCCTTCTACCATTGCTGTAAAATGAATTGCAGCAGCACTTGGGCTTGGGGGTGTTTCTGGATGTCCGCTAAGGACTTGCTAGACCCGTGTTGGGATCCCAAGACCACCCTCACCTTCAGTGATTCCCCAGGAGGACTGCGGGCTCAGAAGCAATGACACTCATGGTGTGATTGCTCCTGTCTTCAACAAGAGGAAGGACCCTTTGGGCAGAGTCTGCGGACATCCAGGCTCAGGCTGTCCTTGTCATCTCCTCCCACAAAGATTGCTCTGCCTACACCCCTCCCCCACCCTTGAAAGGCAGCACCAGGATGCAGGCTCTCTGCCAGTGACCCCTGTCTGGCACTCAGACAAGGGTGTCAGTAGGGTGTTTGTTGAGTGCACAGAGAGCTCATCTGTGTATGTAATCACCATGGGCCTGGGGAGTCCGTTGTGCCTGTGAATCACACTGCTAGGGCAAAGAGTCTGGGACTCTCTTAAGTGGAATTCAGTGCCCTGGGCACCCAGAACAGCTGTGGCACTCAGCACCTGAGGGGCATCTTGGAAGCTGTGTTCCCAGACCCCAGACAAGGGCCAGCCCTGGGCACTGGCCATCAGCGTGCTTCACTGGCTCTCCCCATATGCCTGCAAAACCACAAATATTTACTGTTCAACTCTTTCCAAAAAAAGGTGGATGGCCTCTGTCCCCAAGCAACATCAGAGGGACATGAGCAGGGCCAATGGCCTTCAGCCCTACCTGACCCCTGACCCCATCCCATCCACATAGGGCTTCACAGTGCTGCGCTCAGCCTCATCTGGGCCACCACCATCTCCCACTTGGAAACTAGAGAAGCCTCCTACTTGGCCTTCCAGTAAGGACTCCTGGTCCCTCTCTGCCTAGCAGAGAATGAACTTTCTGAACTGTAAATCTGATGGGCACCTCTGCTTAAATCCCCACTGGAGTTCCCTGTGGTCTTCAGGGTAGTAACCACATGGCTAGGCCCCTAGGCCATCCAGGAGCCACTTTGTTGCTTCACCCCTGGCCACTCTCTCCCTTTCTTGCTTTGCTCTGGATAATGACCACCCTTCCAGCCTCAGGACCTTTGCACGTGCTTCTCCTCTATGAAGCCACTCCTTTTCCCCAAGACCATCCTTCCCCACTAAGTCTGACATCCACTTTAGGATTCAGTTTAAACACAGCTTCCTCAGGGATGTTTCCCCCCAACTACCCGACATGTGCCATCCCTGAGTACCCTCTCATTCCCCAGAGCACCTGTGTTTAGAGTGTAGTATTTAAATAACGCAGGTTTGTTTGTGTGTGCATGTGCATTGGAGCTGTGGTTTCATTTGCTCCATGTCCATCCCTTCCAGAGCTGTGCACTGCAGACCTTCTTGGTATCAGAGATTGTTGGAGGTATTGAGAGTACAGCAGTGTGCAAGAGCAGGCACCTTTCTCACTGGAGAAGGAAGAGATAAACAGAAAAGCAAAACCTAGAAGCAGGAGAAGTTGCCATGTAGACAAAGCACAGCAGTAGGCAAGGTTGCTGGAGGGAGAGAATACAATTGTCCACAGGGCAGGGTGGCCAGGAAGGAGGGCTTGGCTGCAGGCCACTGGCTGAAGGCACCCCTGGAGGGCAAGGTCTCATCTGTCCTGCCCGCTGCCTGGTCCCCAGTCCCTGGAACAGTTTGGGTGCTCGGTGAATGTTTACCCGGTCTCTGTACAAGCCAGAGCACTAGGAAAGCTTGGAAACACGGTGTTTCCTTAGTGTAGCAGCCTCCAGGTCATGACATCTGTGAGCTGTTTTTGGATTCTCTATTATTAATGATGCGTGTGTGTGTGTGTGTGTGTGTGTGTGTGTGTGTGTCTCCCCCAAAGCAACTGTTGGTTAACTGGGGGCAAAGATAAACTTTGTGCCTCCAAGATGAAAAGGAAAACAACACTACATGTAAGCTGGTGGCTTTGAAAGTGGGTGCCCCAAGGAAACTGAACCATGGCCATAGCTGTCCTCATCTGTCAATGTGCCAAGTCATGAAGAGACATGGGGTTCTGGTTTCTCTTCCTGCTCTACCACTATGCCGGTGTGGCCTGCACTTAGGTTTATCACATTCCTGGGGCCAAAGCCTCTTTCTCTAGGAAGAGAACCATAAGCTGCACCTGCTGCCCCAGCAGGTGGCCATCAAAGTCAAGGGCAGTAAGGGCCGCAGTGGCCGAGCAGAAGAGGAGCACATGCCCAGTGTGTGTGAGGCCTGGGGTCTCCCCACTGTGCAGAGAGAGAGAGAGAGAGAGAGAGAGAGACACAGAGACAGAGACAGAGAGACAGACAGACAGACACAGAGACAGAGAGAGAGGCATGATTCACTTGGTGAAGGAACATTTTTTTCTAATTATGTATTTATTTTAATGTGTATTAGAAAATAAATTGATGGCACATCAAAACCATGACCTCATTATTGCTGGAATGACTCTGTACATCTGTATATGATATATGTAATATATATCATAGATAAATTTCACATGCATCACATACATACCATATACACACTCCATACACATGTGTATGATGGACAGTAAGGCTAATTTAAAGTAAATATTAAACATTACAACAAACATGCAAAATGGTGCAGGAGAAAGGAGGTTAACAAATACTTGGGACTCAAGGCTGCTGGAGCTGTTGACCCTCTGGGCACGGTGTTAGGACTCTAGGTAGCCTCAGGGTCTCCCTGGGGACAACTGACACAGGGCCCAAAGTTGGATTGAGTGCCTAAGAAAAACATCTGGGCAGAAGT